CGCCGCCGTGTCCGCAGCGGGGCCTGTCCACGCAGTGAGGCCGTGTCGTGCAAACACGCTTATCTTAAACATAAGCTGTTCTGGCTCTATGAGCTATTTGGGTGCATGGAGAAGAGATGCCTCTAGCTAGAGCGGTTGTAAACATCAGGCTTCCCACTCTGTAGCAACTCTGTGACAAACAGGGTGAGGATGCGACTCTGTCTTTAGGCCGAGCAGGTCTCGGGGTCAGCTCCGTGCTGCTCGGGTGCCCGTCACCGCCTCGCGGGAGCTGTCACAGCAGCTGGAGGGGCTCCCGGTTCTGGGGCACCGCCGGGGCACCCACGTGCGGCCAGGGCCCTGGGAGAAAACGGGAACAGGGGCTCGTAGCTAGGGGTTCTGCATGGTGCTTTGGATGCCCAGCCACGTGGCATTTTGCAGGGTAGGATCTAGGGTGTATGTGAGGAACATGGCAGAAGGGAGAGGGGTGGCCAGAGGATATGGAAAAAGAAAGGGCATGGGTGGACTTGATGAGGGGAGGACTAAAGGACACAGTACAGCCATTGTGCCTTTGGGTGAGGAGGAGTAAAGGGCACAGAGCTGTACAGAGTCGAGCCTCATTAGTGTCAGCTCAGTGAGATGGATCCTGCTGCTTTCCCTTTCCATGGTGATGAGTGTGGAGGATGGCGGTTCCTGGGGAGCCCGGCACAGCTGAGGCTGTGGTTCCAGTGGCTGGTCCAGAAGGAGCCTTTCCCGTGGGGCTCTGCTGCTGCGGCCGCTGCCGTCGTTGGCGCAGCTGCCCGGTGGGTAGAGTGAGCGAGAGGGAGGACAGGAGCGCGGACAGGGCAAGAGAGGGGGGCTGCTCCAGCAGCCCCACTGCAGAAGGGGAAACTGAAGCTTAAGGAAGATTAATTAGCTGTATCTTCTGCCTTCTTGCATCCCCTTTCTCATTTGCAGGACTGCATCAAATACTATGATTATATAAAGGTGTTAATTTCTGAAGGATTAGTAACACTTCCTTCTAAAAACTGGGTTTGCTAAAGCTGGATTGTAATCTTCAGCTCCTTTTAAGTTAGCTTCGATAGAGCAAAGGGGAGGGGGTGCAAAGTTACTGCCAAGGCAACTTTCCAGACTTTTCAGTTCCTTCGAACAGGTTCCTTTTGAACAGGTTTTGAACAGTAGACCAGGTTTGTCAAAGTTAGAGGAGCTAAAGGATTTCAATTTTGATGCCTCAGTGCTTGCTCTGGGACAGGCAAACAGGTTGTCATTCTGTGTGCTCAGCCCTCGCCTCCCGTGGAGGCGGAAGAGGGCAGGGAAAGTACCAAGCTTGATGTATGCCACGAAGGGCCTTCCCTGGTGGAAGGGGAAGCAGCAGTGGCCTTAGCTGGAGACAGAACTTGGAGTCTGGTCTGGAAGTCCTTCTGTGACTAAAATGTCATATTCTTTAATACAGTTCCTTATTGCAATATGTGCCAGGTGGGTTCCTCAGGCTTGACTCTCAGCTAGGATAATACTGTTTTATAAGCATTTATTTGAATAGTAAAGGTAGCACAGGTAATAGTCATTAGTAAGTTGTGTTGTCACTCTAGCTATAGTTTATTTCTGTATTGTATAAAGGTTAATTGAAAACTTTTGCTTCTGGCTTGCTTTTTCAGTAGCGAGAAGCCAGTTGGTCTTGCGCTAACCAAACTAGTATAAAATGAGGATTGACTTGATTTTACTTCTGAAGAAGGTTTTTCATTTCACTCACATAAGATTTTATACTTTCGCAGTACTTCACAAATACAACTACTTTCCAGTTCCCCCTGAAATAAGCCTTGTCCCCGCTGAGGGCAGTGGGACTTTCCTGGGGCCGAGGTTCACTTGCTGTGGAATTTTCAAAGGCACACATGCTTTATACATGCAAAGTTGAAACAAATATCTAAGTAGCAAAGAAGGAAACGATCAAATTTGAGTCTTTTATAATTTCATTTCCGTAAAATAAAAGTTGTAAACTCCCTCATCAGAAAGATAGCGGTTTTCATGATGGAAAAGAGGGAAAAGAGTAAAGGTCACTCATGTGAAAGCTTAAACTTTAAAGGGTATGGGGCAGTGTGAGTGTTGTGTGAACTCAAATCTGCATGTGTAGAAATGATCTAAAAATCAGGCTGGGCTCCTGACCTTTGAGGCCCTCTGAGGAGGGAAATAATTCATATTTCCTAATGGAGTAATACATATTTTGCTGTCTATTTGAAATTAAAACAACACTGAAAATATCTGCCTCAGTTCCTACTGATGTCCTAGTGCTTGATGTATTGAGAGACACAACTCACTTTTTTTTGCTGCTGTTTTTCTTTTATTGTTGTTATTTGAGAATCTCCATTGTTAAACTAAACAAAATTTCTTCTTACCAAAGCAGTGTAATTCTCTAAACAATGGGAAGTTTCAGAAAAGGACCAGTTCTGTGGGAGTGAGGCTTGTATAAATGGGCATGTTAAACTTAAAATCTGTTTTTCTTTTTCCAAACAGAAAGATGATGACATTGAAGAGGGGGATCTTCCTGAACATAAGAGGCCTCCAGCCCCAATAGATTTCTCAAAAATCGATCCAGGCAAACCTGAAAGTATCCTGAAGTTGACAAAAAAGGGGAAGACTCTGATGATGTTTGTTACAGTGTCGGGAGAGCCCACTGAAAAGGAGACGGAAGAAATTACCAGCCTGTGGCAAGGCAGTCTCTTCAATGCAAACTATGATGTGCAGAGGTAAGCAGCCGCACGCAAGAACAAACTCCTGGCTTTTACCAGATCCTTGTTTCTTCCTTCGTGAGTAGCTTTTTAACTGCTTGTCCTTTGCTCTACCCTTACCCTATACCCTGTCATCATTTCTTTGTTTCTGTATCAGTTTAGATGTTGGTTTTTTTTTTTTTTAAGTCTAGAAAAATTTTGGTGTAGTGCACTGATCTTTTTTAAAGCTTACTCGTGGCGTACATGTAGTCTAGTTGCTTTTTCTCCGTATGTTTCAGACATTCAACAATTTTAGCTGCAATAGTTTGCCTTTACATGCTTGATAGAAAACGTCACACATAGAAGTCTTGTTACCACAAAAGACTATTCATTCCCTTGCCTAAAAATATGTCTCTTTGTGAGAGACAGAGGATCATTTTAAAACAGAGGAATGTTGCACTCTTGATACTGAGAAGAGTTGCAATAAGTGTGTGAAGCAGATTTAATACATATTAGGGATTTTTATGCAGTACAAAATTAATTCTTAAGTGCTCTTCATATTCTTAATTCCGCCTGGTTATTTATAAGTTTAATACTTCTTATATGTGCTCGTAAATTCCATCCCCATTCCAAACACCAAGACCAGCCTTACCACTCTTATCTGTGCATCTCATATTTGATGTTGCTCTGAATTGAAGCAAAATGTTTTAGCACTTGAAAGGTACAAAGGTAACTGAAGCAATGTATATCTCTTTCCTCTAGGTTTATTGTTGGCTCAAATCGTGCCATATTTATGCTGCGTGATGGTGGTTATGCCTGGGAGATCAAAGACTTTCTGATAAATCAAGAAAGGTGTGCGGATGTTACTCTGGAAGGCCAGGTTTACCCTGGCAAAGGAGCAAAAGAAAGTGATAAAGTAAAAAATAAAACAAAACCTGAAAAAGGAAAGAAGAAAAAGGATGCAGACAAGAATTCTGAAGGCATCAAAGAGAACAACCGAGCGACCAAACAGAGAGATGATCTATGACAGACTCATGAACCAGACTGAACACTGCTCCGTTGTTCCTGGCAGGGAAATTGCGCTGCCATACAATTCCTGGCTTTACTGGGGGGAAAGGAGGAGGCGGAGATCACTGAGCTTAAAAGACTTCTGTGTTCAGACATACCAGTTTACTCATTAATGTTGGTCACTTGTTTAGCAACAACACAGGTACCAGACTTTGACTACTTCAGTGTTTTTTTTTTTGTTGTTTTTTTAATGTTTTTTTTTAACATATGAATCTGTGCATCTAACATTACGAAGTAAGTGGCAAAGAAAGCATACCATCTCAGCATACACTAGTGTTCCTCTGTAGTAGCAGCTCTCCATCTAGAGGATACAAATTAGTCACTGATTTGTAGTTGCTGCTGCGTAGCAGGATACTTTACTAGAAGATGCTTCTGGGCACCAGTTTTGCAGGATTGAGGGAGCCAAATACAGAGAGTAGTGTTACCACTGCCAAAGATGCCTGAAATCATAAGGCTTACGATTTATGTGGTTATACTGCCTCTTTCTTTAAAATAAACCAAGAACCCTTCTGTTTGCCCCCTTGAAAATCCATGTAAGTGCCTAGAAGTGTAATACAAATTAGGCAGAGATTGAGCACTTTATGTCAGTACAGACATTGGTGCAGAAGGGAGATTCTCTGCCCGTCAGAAGTGATACTATTGAGGCTAGTGGAACTGCAGAACTAGCATGAACACTGTCCCAGTGAAAGGAAAATCAGATTCGTGGCATTCAAGCTGCTACTGCTGTCAAGGATCTGTGCCTGTGAAGGCAAATATTGTGCTGCAGTATCCAGAGTTAAACTTTGAGCTAGGTCACTCACTGATGTTTAATAACCACATCTCTTTAGTAGATTTCTCACTGAAATATCTGTTTTAAATGAACATTGATTTAAATGCATTAAAGCTTGATATATGGAAGCAAATTACATTCTTCTTCAACAGACTGTATAATTAGGAGGGTCTTATTTAAATGGTATTCAGTCAAATGCATAGTTTAGATAGTTTCCCATTTCCTCACTTGTTAAGGACTAAATGTGCTTAGTTTGTATGTTCCATGTTGTCTTTTTTCAGAGGATGAGTACAGTATTGGCTCTCTTCATTTGATAATAATAAGACTTTTTGTTGTTGTTTAAGGTGCTAAAATTCAAGTGTTTTGGATGAAAGGTCCTAACTGAACCATAATGGTTGGTTGTGTGGAATACTTTGATATCAGAAATGGGAAACTGACTTGCTGAGTGCTTGTTTCAAAATAAAATATGCCACTGAAGCCCACGTTTTGTTATTTTGAAGCCTTAATGAAGCAGTAATGCTTTAAAATTGTGTATAGCCTGTTAATTTAGTTAAGTGTTTGAGAGGCAGGCTCACCTATCTTTGGATTCTGTGCTTGGTCATAAAGACTAAATGATGTTGGTGAAGACTCCAGGTGATGATCATTATTTGCTTTGATACTTGTATGAATTTATGATTAAAGAAAATTTTCATACTGCAGTTCACTAATCAGATCCTTGCTTGTTTGTTTGAGTGAAAGAAATAAAAGCATGTACTTCTTAAGGACTCAGTATATTTTTTCTATGCATTTATGTTAATGGTGGGTTATAAAGCAGCTGAGAAGTTTTTGCAGTTATTTGGTTATTGCATTGGCTTGAACAGAAAGGGGGGGTGTCATCATTTCTTGTTTGTAACTAATTTACTTTGTCAAGTCCTGCCCCACACCCACTTTATTTTTTTAAATATTTGACACAACTTGCATAGAAAAAAAGTATTCTGATCATGATCAGAAGTGTGTGAAAATGGGCTGTAGTTTTTCAATGCTTACACAGCATAATTTTTATTGTTTCTTTGAATCCAACTGATTTCTGCCTGAGCTGAATAATCATGCAATGCAACCATAGTACACAAATAATATCAGGGCAAGTAATGTTACCCTAGGAGGAGAGGCATACTGTAATATAGATTCAGCTTAGCCTTTTAAACTATGTACGAGTTTCAGCTATTAATAAGTCCTCACTTCTGCTCTAAGGAGGTTTTATCTTTTCCCTTTATCGTTAAGAGGTGGAACAGCTGGAGGCCTTCTTGAACTCAGAGGAACAGCTTTGCTGAAATTCAGCCAGTCACTAAACTTGGATGTGACGTCTTTCTCTCTCCAAATCCTTGCATTGCCTGTACCAAACGCAATGTGCCTGTACACACTTTGGTAAGAGACATGGAGGTGATTCTGTTTTTACAAATATTTGTTTCATCAGTACTGTGATGGTTTTAACTCTTGACATTTTCACCTTCCTATACATCTTGATACGCTTTCGTGTGACAATTTTTACTGTAGAATAAAATAAGCTATTTTTAACTTTCATACTCTAGTATTTTAGCAGGAATAAACCGCACTGGGTTAAGGTAATACATAAATTTGCAGAACTATTTGGAGTCATAAAGTCTGCCATTTATTTTTTGGCATATATATAAATAATTGCAACACAACCATGGGAATAAAAAATGATTTCCAGCCTTGACCTGCCATGAGCGATGCAACTGCACCTCTGCAGGGAAATACTTCTAAGAGTAGCAGATGGGTGCGTTTTGGGGAAAGGGAGAAAAGGAACAGCTGAAAGCGGCCCACCCTTCCTGGCAGAGACGAGCACGTCCCCGGCTCGCTTGGCAGCCTCCCTGTTTCGATGAGGAGGATGTCCGGCTCCCAGCGGGGACTGCAGCGGTGTCGGGTGCTCCCGACCACCTGAGGAGCCTGTGTCAGGATTGCCAATGCTGGAGACTCCTGCCTGCTGAGGCTGTAATAATAATCGTATTAATAATATCCTTAGCT